ATGCAGTTAGTCAGCTTGGTGAAATAACATATGGTCTTTGGTGGAAAATTCTTGATCATCTGATTGGAAATACCATCCAAGCCAGGGCTCTTTTTCCTTCTCAGCCTTTTGATGCAACTGCAGACCTCCGAAGGCATGACTAAGATTATGTTGTCGGTGTATGGGCTTGTGTAATTGTGATGAAAGTCAGCAATAAGCTGATCTGTGTTGTTGTCTAAAATGTTGTTCATACAGAACTGAGATTCCAGATGCTGCGCTAAAAGTTCTGCCTTCTTATCTCCAGTGTAGTGGATCCCTTGAGGCCCGTTAAGGGGCGGAATGGATTTGTAGCATTTTTTATACCTTTTCACAGCTTTCCATAGTGATCCCAGGTAGCTGGTCCAGCGATCTTGTGGAAGTTTGTTTGCAAGAGACTTGACTGCCTCACACAGTTGGTTGAAGTGCCGTTTGTCTTGTGGGTGCCTTGTTCTCTGGTATTGCCTTCTGGCTGCATTCGTTTGTTTTAACAATAGACGTAACTCTAATGGTTTGAAGGCTTTCTCAGTTTTAACCTCTATCCTTGCTTTCTCATAAGCATATTGAACTTGGCAGGTGAATTCCTTAACCAAACTATCAATGTCATCCCCCGAATGTATCATTGGAATCGTGTACTGAATGTTGGTTAGAGCTTTGGCAAAAATTTGCCAGTCGGTGCGAAAGGCTCTTCTATCTGTTGTAGTAAAACTGCTGCGGTCCAGAATAATTCTGACCAGATTATGATCAGATGACAATTCATCAGGGGTTAGCTAGAGGGGGGCAAGGGGGGATACCTGTCCCCGGGCGCAGCATCCAAGGGGCGCCAAATTGATATTACGAAATTTTAGAATTAAATGTTTTCCATCCTTGGCAAGCAGTAGGGCCGCGAAATCTTCAGTTGCCCTTGGGCGCTGAAAACCCTAGCTACGACTCTGCAATTCATCCAGCACAGAAACATCCAGCGGACTGCTGGTGTTTCTGAGCAGGAACAAATCAATTATTGCAGCTGACCCAGCAGCATACCGTGTTGGGGTTTTTCGAACTGCTATATTAAATCGAGCCGAACCGGCTAAACTGTAAATTAATTTGCCTGTAGCATTTGAGATGTAACAGTTCCACGCTCAGTGTCGTGCATTTAAGTCTCTACCTATGTCAATATGTGTTCGTGTGGTATTGTTACATGATTATGGGGAATGCAGCATTTGATAAAGAGCGCTGTTCCTCCTCCTCTTGGTCGTAAAGCATTGGCACTTCTATTAGATCTGTAGGTGCTATAATTCGCAACATTAATTGGTATTTTTGGGTCAAGCTTGTGTTCCTGTAGGAAAAGTAAGTCGGGGGCGTGCTCATTTACAAACTCCCTGAGTTCGTTGATTTTACGATACAATCCGTTCGCATTCCAAGTAATTATGTTTAAATACTTATATACAGTACAATTCATAGTTAAGCAGTTAAAGAAGAACTGAAAACATCATCTAACACGTTATAGGATAAACAGTTTATCAATAGTGTTCTCCGTTGCCCTTAAATCAGGCATTACTGCGGAGATTTTGCTAAAAACAGTAACAAAGGAAGTTCCTTTGAACATGTCAAAAATTTCTTTAAACACTTTAAAATATCCGTAAAAGCATTAACATTGCTGTTACTTGCAGCCACATCAGTCCTGTTGTTATTTACAGTCCTAGTACTAACATGATTAACACTATTTACACTTTTTACAACATCTTATTTTGCTACGGAAGCCGCAGCAGTATTAACAGTTGAACCTTTGGCCACACTGGCGTAGCTTCGGCCGGGGACCACCATAGCAGAATGAGGCGCACAGGGTGCCTTGACATCAGCATTTTTAACATTATTTGTACTAGCTGACTTAACGCCAGCCGTGCGTCGTACTGGAAATTTAGGATAACCACGGTTATTTGCCGTGTGCCCTGATTGTAAACAATTACAGCAAACTGGCGTTTCTAATTGTTTAACATTACACATTGTAGTTTTATGTGCACCCGCGCATTTTACGCAGCGGGGCTGCAATTTGCAATTCTCACTAGAGTGGTGGAAGTGTTGGCAGTTGTGACACTGCACAACACCTCCACGCACCTTGTATGGATGTACTTCTACATATAAACATAATATTTATTTACATCATAAATGTTTTGCACCCCTGTATGTATCGAGGTGAGCCTGAAATAACGGCATCGGGGCCCTAGATCTAGTTTTCTTATTTGAACCACTTTCGGGTTTGTGGTTTGTACTTCATCTGCTCTAATTCTTCAAAAATGTCTCAGGGGGGACAATCTATTGGCAGTCCTCTTATGACTACTTTAACTGGCTTCTCAGTTTTTCTAGTAATTATATAGTGATCAACACTATTATCCTCTAATATCTAGTTATGGATCTATGATCCGTCTCTGACTTGGGAATATTTAAAATTCCCGTGACTTCCCTCAAACAACTTAGTATCATCTCTGGCTTAAAACAGGAATTAATAGCCCTAACAAGGAACTTGGCACTTTCACGATTCATCTCAAGCACTTCCATTCATTGATTAATTCATTTAACTTCTATAAAATTTATCTTTTATTAATCATAGAGGGGCTATCCAGAAAGTAGATTACGTTTTGGAATAAAAAAATAAACAAAGTATAGGAAACAAATTTTATTATATACAGATGAAAGCCACACTCAAATACTACTTTTCTACATAGTCACCATACAAATTAAGGCATTTATCGTAGCGATGTACGAGCTTGGAAATTCCTTCGTCGAAAAATTCGGCCGCCTGCGCCTTCAACCACTTCGTTACCTCTTCTTGCAGCTGTGCGTCGTCATCAAAACGCTGCATAGCCAGCCACTTCTTCATTGCTGGGAATAGGTGGAAGTCGCTCGGTGCCAGGTCGGGACTGTACGGCGGATGAGGAAACAACTCCCACTTAAAAGATTCAAGAACTTTACGAGTGACATTTGCCGTGTGGGGCCGGGCGTTGTCGTGAATCAACAAGATCTTAGAGCTCAACATTCCTCTGCGCTTGTTTTGAATTGCTCTTCTGAGTTTTTGGAGAGTTTGGCAATACCTTTGAGAGTTTATTGTAGTGCCTCTTTCCAGGAAGTCCACCAAAATTACACCTTTTCTGTCCCAAAAAACAGTCGCCATCATCTTCCTTGCCGACATTGTTTGCATGCATTTCTTGGGTTTTTGGGGAGAACTTGTGTGCCCCCACTGCATTGATTGCAATTTCGTTTCACAGTTCACATGTTTCACCCATGTTTCGTCACCAGTAACGATGCGATCGAGTAAAGAGTCACCATCCTTATGGTAAGCGTCCAAAAAGTTCAACGCTGCAGCCATTCGCTGATTTTTGTGGTCCTCTGTCAAGATTTTTGGAATCCATCTTGCACAAAACTTGTGGTAACCAAGCTTTTCGCTGATGATTTCGTGCAACAAACTTCGCGAAATTTGTGGAAAACTCAAAGAAAGTTCCGTTATTGTGAAATTTCGATTTTCACGGACTTTAGCATCGACTTTTTCGAGAAGTTCGGCGGTCACTATGCTGGGTCTCCCACTTCGATCTTCGTCGTGAACATTGGTTCGGCCATTTTGAAATCTTATGACCCACTGACGCACTCCACCTTCAGTGATAATGTTGTCCCCATACACTTCACGAAGCTGCCGATAGATTTCTATCGGTTTACAGTTTTTTGCAGTCAGAAACCTTATTACTGAGCGCACCTCGCAGCTCGCGGGATTTTCAATTAACGCAGACATTTCAAACCGTCACAGTATCTGAACGGAGCACAGCACGAACCTCTCACTAGCACGGCTAGATGCAGACTGAGCTGCGCAACGCTCTGACCCCAAGATGGCCGCGCTAGCCCCGCCCCTAGCGGACACAGACGGAAACGTAATCTACTTCCTGGATGGCCCCGTATTACAATTTTATATGTAAAGCCCATCTGGCTCCGAATCGAAAGAGGGGAGGCTGGCATAAATAGAATCATCCTTATAGGAATAGCAACTATCATAACAATATACAAAACATTTATTATTCATATTAACTTTCCATATCAGACATAACCTGACAGTCAGAATTACTAACACCATTATTTAACGATACACTATTACTAAGTTTTTGCAATAGAAAGCGTTTATACAAGTAGGATTATTGGCACCAAAAGAGGCACACTTACCTTTATATAACTGCATCAATCCTTCAGTAATGCCTTTAAGAGTCTTGATATAATTCCTATGCACTAATTTTTCGTCTTTGGAAGTTGCACGCGCAATACTCCGCATGGCATTAAGCTCTCTTGTTTTAACAGCGATCTCCAAAGTATGGATCTGTTGTAAGGCATTAAGGTACTTTCTTAAGTCTCTTTTCGCAGGAGTTCACTCCAGTTCGAATCAAGAATATTGTCCGCAAACACACATATATCCTCCGTAATTCCAGGTATTAATTCACATAACACACTTTTCGTATCCTTAGCTGGTAACAGCGGAAACTCCGCATCGGCCATTTCAGCACATCTTAGGGCTAACCGCGTTTCTAGGGAGGAAGTAAAAATACGCCTCCCGTTACCGCCTGTCTTATGGCAAATCGGCGTAAAATGCTTGTACCTGGGCTAATTGTGCGCATGCGCTGACGCAGGTTGTGCGAATCAAGGTCTACGGACCTTGGGTGCGAATAGAGGCTATTCGGACCAACATCCTTGATTAGGACCATCCAAGGAGGTTAGAATCAAGGTCCGTAGAAAGGTCCGTTCTTTCTACGGACATTCTAACACAAGGTCTATTAAAGTATATTAAATATAGTATATTAAAGAACCTTGATTCTAACCTCCTTGGGACCATCGGTGCGATTAGCTACTTGCGCTTGTTTTGCACTCGCTAAGTCTTTATACTCTGCCTTTACACCATCTTTAAATGAAACCATCCTGAATGCGAGGCTATCACTGGGCAGAAGAATATTTATCGCCTTTGTTACCATTATTATCACAAAAAGCTGTTCTTTAAGTACATTAGCGTTAGACAGAGCGAAACCTTTTCATTACGAAACAAATAACATAAAAAAAAAGCGAGTATTTTTAAGGAAACTTTTAAGAAGCATCGTCTCAACTCAATCAATATGGCGCCGCGCATGATTTAAATGTGTGATGTAATAGTTACATCTTATGAATTCTTACATTAAAGAAAATTTTAGATTTAGTAATCCATTTAAAGTGACATTTCAAAATGCCTCTGTCTTTTCCTTGGAGATCTGCTGTCGGAAAAATGGTCATATGTAATCTACAACTGTATCGGGCGTTATATTCCGCTCATGTTAAAATTCTGAGCTATTCATTTTTTCCAGTGCAGGTAAATGGATTTCTTGCACTATTACTTATTGTCTGACACTTCTTAATAAGTAATTTTTAGGTAAAATTTTACAATTGGGTGTCTTGTCATTTTGGCGATTCATTTTTGACGCCAAGATCGGCGCCAGGAAGGTACAATTTCAAGATGGCCGCTACACAAAACCAAAATAAGAAGTCAAAGAATTGTATAAACTCGGTGTCCATGTATACATCGATTTAGTTTCACCTAAAAAAACATCAGAGAATTGCTCCAATTAGGCATTGTGCACTGCCTTAACTTTGTCCATGTACACATTGATCTATTTACATTAAAAAAAAAAAAAAAAACTAGGGAGCTAAAACAAAGTTAAAACTATCATGGTAACCAGAAATGGGGTTTCATCGCGAAAACTGAAAACAAATTTGGAGAAACTGCAGAATCGCCCACTGTTTGGCCCGTTTTTAAGAATTGCTCATACTCGGTATCCATGTGCACATTGACCTATTTTCATGTAAAAAGAACATCTCAGAATTGTACAAATATGGCATTGTGCACTCCCTTGACTTCATCCATGTACACATGGACCTATTTTCACTTAAAAAGATCAAAGAAAATTGACAAAAATCAAATTCTTCCTCCTCTTGTAAAAAGCGCCAAACAAATAAGTGGGCGATTCTGCAGTTTATCCAGCTTTTTTTGATTTTTTGTTGTTGTTATTATGAGGCTTATGTGCATGATATACCATTTTATAATATAAAACACACTTCTTTTCCATACGATAGAAAAACTTGTATTAGTTTAGCAGCAATATTTTAGTTACTTATAAATTTTTAACATTTCATTTTATTCGGTAATCTGAAGAGGCAGAATTGCAGAGTTCTTTCAAAACGTTATATTTGATATTATAAAAAAGGTTTGGGATGCTAAAAGTAATTAAAAAAATAATCAAAACTCATAGAAGTGTACTGCAGTTCTTTTAACAAATTAACGGATAAGTATCACAATAAAACAATAATTTCAATTTCAGTTAAATTTGCACAAATCGTAATTTTTCACTTATTATCACCTATTTTCACTTAAAAAAAATATCAGAAAATTGCACAAACTTGTCACTGCACACTTCCTTGACTTTGTCCATGTACACATCAATATGCCCCATTACCAAAATCGTTTACGGCAAGGGTGTGGGGTGTTTTAAATTCATGCGTAAAGTTTTCATAAAGTATAGTCATGTCTGTGTGCTGGCTTTTTGAAAAGGAATTTTTTTTTTAAAGCGAAGTATTGTGTATTTGCCAATTTTTGATTTCATTGTTAGATGATATTTTTCAGGCAACCATATTTTTTTTATAACTTGAATCAATAGGATTGCAGGATTGGTTGCTATTTTTATCTGATTCTGTATCTGATTACGATTTGCTTTTTCTAAAACAGTTTATTTTTAAATGGTGAAAACAGAATCTGTTATTTTCATTTTGTTGGAATTTCAACTATTTTGAGTGATCATGATGATGGTTGAAAGGTATGATTTAAATTTTTTTTCACAACTTGGAATGAACTGGGAGAATGTTTATGTCACTGTGATAGGTGAGAATGGGTTCAGTTGGAAGTGAGGCATGCAATGATGAAATGCATTTAGTAGGAAAAAAAGGAAACACATGGTGGTTTTATTTGGTAGTAGCATAAAAACTGGACAAATTAGCATTTTAGGACAAGTCCTTTGAGGGAAGATAGTTGGTTATAATTCAGATTTTAATGATGATGAATAGGATGGTTCGAAAGGCCTCCTGTGATTTCATTTGAGATTGATGTGTTAAAGAACGTCTATAATGGGGGGAAAATTACAGGAGGTTTTCTCAATAAAGATATTTTTTAGTTACATAATCTTCATTTAATAATTAATATTTGTATATTAAATTTCTAGAGTGTGTTTTCTTTTTAATATTTTAATAATGTTTTCTGATTTGTGATAAATGCTGATAGTTTGGCAATTTTTTTAGAAACAAATTGCCAAAATCACCAACTTGCCCCAATAAATAAATTTAGGGCTAATCTTTGGAATATGGTAACAGGTAGTTTGGCGACATTTTGGTAAGGCGATAAAGGTTACTAGCTAAGACTTTAGCAGTGTACATGGATAAAGTCAAGAGTGTGCACAATGCCATTTTTTGTGCAATTCTGAGATGTTTTTTTAGTACATGGATGCCGTGTATGTGCAGTTCTTAAAAACGCGGCAAGCAGTTTGCGATTCTGCACTTTCTCCCAATTTCGCACTTAATCTTTGTCATGATTAAGCACTTTTGTTCCATAAAAGTTCTAGCATAAGCCTAATTTGGCTAGCAGTTTGTTGGGAAAAAATGTTGAAACGGGAAAAAAAAAAACAAAACAAAAAACAACAACAACAACAAAAAAAAAAAACATGCCTTTACTTCGGGAAAACAAAATGGTGTCCAAACAAAAACCAGCAGGTTGCTGTAGCAGGGTTGGTCGCCAAAAAAATCGCCAAGTTACCATAATCCAAAGATTAACCATTACATTAATTTTCTTTTCCCTCTAAATTATCTATTATAAAAGTCGCCACAAAATAAGCTGTGACTGGAACTGTGTACTTCTCAGATTATTGCTAAAGTCCTAGCTAGTAACTTTATTGCCTTACCAAAATGTCGCCAAACTACCTGTTACCATATTCCAAAGTTTAGCCAAATTTAGGTTAAACTTTATTAGGTAGGAAGCTATTCTTGGCCCATGTTTTGAATTCTGTAGAATGTTTGTAAGTGGATAATGTCTTTGTATCATGATAGTTCTTGAAATACTGTGTTTTTGAGAGGTTGGTTGAAAGGGGTGGAAGGCCCTGGAATCTGTTCCTGGGAGATTCTCTTTTGAAATTGGAACTTAGCTGTGGAAATTTGTACTGCAGCCTGATGACTTCTGGGCCTAAGCTGACAGGCACGACGTTTGCCTTTTAGACTACCATAAAATTCATGGATTTAATCAGAAGTTAATCTGAGGAGAATGAGATAAGTCACAACATAGTTTCATCTAGTAAATGAATTTGGCAATCTTCTGAATTTCATATAACCAGAGAAAAATAGAAACAAAGAAGAAAAAAAAGTTTAGCAGATTATTTACAAGCATATTGAAGAATAAATGTAGTTTCATCTAGTAAACGAATTTGGCAATCTTCTGAATTTCATATAGCCAGAGAAAAATAAAAACAAAGAAGAAGAAAAAAATTTAAGCAGATTATTCAAAGCATATTGAAGGATAAATGTATAAATCTGTGATCACTATTAGAATGTAACTTTAAGTATTTATAACCAAGTGACAATTCCTATCAAAGCTAGTGTATAATTTATACAAGTAGAAATATTTATGTGAAAAATATGCAACATACTCAGAGCCAGATTAAAACAGTTAGAGGTCCTACGCACTTAAAAGATATTGGTGTTTTAAAGATTTATGAGGAGATGCATTTTCCTCATCTACTTAACTGTGCCACCCACTCTTGCCCGTTCATTGTTATATTTTGGCTTTTCTGTGATGTTTAATTGTTTATTCAGATCTGGGTTAACAGATGGTGGTAGTCATCCATACTTCTGTGAAATATACAAGCATATTTTGCAGCATTTTGCATGCCCTTTTCAAAGCTCAAAGATGTCTGACAGGAAGCATTTCATGAGTGATATAACATACAGTCCTAATAATATTTCTGACACTGATAGCAGTTCTGACTCAGATTTCAAGTATATTGAAGGTAGTTATAGTAAAACAGATGAGAATTTTTCAGATTTCTCTGTAGATAGTAATGAATCTGAAGATTAATTTTTCATTCAAAATGTTCACTAGTGGTGTAAAATTGATATACAAAATATTCCACTAGCTCCTTCTTCATTTCCTTTTCTTGGCAATCCTGGAGCAACATTCACTGTGGAAAATCATGCAACTGTTTTGGATTATTTTGAACTTTTTTTGATGATCTTGTGTTGCAAAGAATATTACTAACAGATATGCTGAAATTATCAAGAAAAAAAGATCAAGGTGGATAAAGTGAACAGATACAAATGAGAAAGAACTTGGATTTTTCTTTTCCGCTTTGTTTCTCCAAGAAATAGTAAAAAAGCCATAACAAGAATATTATTGGACAAATATGCTGCAATCCTTTACCCTCTTGTTGAGTAAGTTTTCCCGGATGAAACTTTAAAAGCATGGGAACCAATCTACATCTAAAATTTTTGAAACAACTCATGAATTAAAACACTTTATTTAGAATCAAAACACTTTCAAAAACCAAAACACTTAATTTAAAATCAACGTAGTCAATTGGATTTCGGTGGAAAATGGGCCGATATAGAGTTTAACATAGATTCAAAACAGTTTCGATTTTCTTTGACCTGATGCTGTCGCCACATGAACTCAGCTAAATAAGAATCTAAATGATCTCTCGCTGTTGCCTCCTATGTCTCTTGTTCCTCCATTTAGCACTGCCCCACATTCTCTCAACTGTTTGTGTATGAACTCCTGCATTAGGATCAATAAAATTGTATTTATGATTAACTTTAGCATGAAGGAATACTTTTTCTATTCTATTTGTTTGGTAACCTTTCCAACTGTCAGAATAAATTGTGCTACCAGCGAGTCTTTTGTTTCTCTACATATACCCCAAACGCCCACTGTTCGGGTAGTACTTGACCACAATTATTTTTATGCTTAGTAAACAAACTTTCATCAATTTCCACTATGCAATCTGGTCCACCTAATTTCTTGTTTGGTTTATTCTCCATATCCAATACACATAATTCATGCATGTAATTGTTCCAATCTGTAATAGTTTTGGTTGATCTTTACATTATGGTAACTTGGCGATTTTTTGGCGAAAATTTGGCGACCAACTCTTCTACAGCAACCCTCTATTTTTTTTTCCCTGCCGCCATTTTGTCTTCACGAAGTAAAGACATGTTTCTTTTCTTTTATCTACTGAACACTTCTTCCAACTATCTACTAGTCCGAATTACACTTATGCTAGAAATTTTTATCTAACAAAACTGCTTAATCATGACAAATATTCACTGCAAAAATTGGGGAAAAAGTGCACAATACCATACTCCTTACGCGTTTTTCAAAATAAACACATACACATAAACCATTACAACGTTGACTTATTTTTACTTAAAAAAAAAAAACATCCCAGAATTGCACAAAAATGGCATTGTGCACACTCTTCACTATATCCATGTACATGCTTTTTTCTCATAAAATTAGAAAAATTTCACGAAAATACATGACAATTTTCTGAATCTTTAAAAACCCGGTAAAAAAAGAACATATATGAAATTACCTGATCGCGAAAAAAGTATATACCCTTTCCAAATATGAACATTTCCACATATAAAATAAATAAAATATCCAAAAACTTTTACCTCTAAATCATCTATTATATTCTAAAAAGTCACCAACGAATTCATACCGCAAGCATTACAGATACTTAGTGTCAAATATTTAAATTATTTCCATGCACGTTTACTTCAACTAAAAACGTATACCAAATTCCTACAAAAACATAAAAAATTCACAAAATAACTATCATTTAATTAAAATATCACTAAACCATGTACACGTCGACTTATTTTTACTTAAAAAAAAAAAAAAAAAAAATCCCAGAATTGCACAAAAATGGCATTGCACACACTTCACTATATCCATGTACACTCATTTTTTCTCATAAATTAGAAAAATTTCACGAAAATGCATGACAATTTTCTGAATCTTTAAATCCGTTAAAAAAGAACATATATGAAAATTACCTAATACAAAAAAAAGTATATACCCTTTCCAAATATGAACATTTCCACGTATAAAATAAAAAAATATCCAAAAACTTTTACCTCTAAATTATCTATTATATTATAAACGTCACCAACAAATTCATACCGCAAAACATTACAAATACTTAGTGTCAAATATTTAAATTATTTCCATGCACGTTTACTCAACTAAAACGTATACCAAATTCCTACAAACATAAATTCACAAAATAACTATCATTTAATTAAAATATAATTAAATTCAAAAACACTACTTAAAATATAAATAAGCACATACATTAAATTAATAAAATTAGCTTACAATCCTAATTACTTTAAACTAAATCATTGCTAATACAATTTTCCCAATAATACCAATTACTTTACTTCCACCTTACACATTTAGAACAATGCATAAAAATAATATCCTCAAATAATTAAAAAATACTAACTTACCTAATCTTCTTCAGAATCTTGATTACGTGTCTGATAAACTTTTCTTATTTCCTCCGCTAAATAAAAAGCAAGCGTATGTGCGCCTGTTTTAGGATCTTTAAAATCATACTTATACTTCACAGCAAGGTACCAGGTAAAATAAATAACTTAATAAAACATCTTTACTTCTATCTTGCACAACCTTAAAGAAACACTTATTACTACCCCTTTCAATCCCACTAAATACCCATTTCGAATTCACTTTAGTTAGGGCCATGGAATCCCAAAATTAACGAACACTATTTCACACAACACAGAATAAAGCCAAATACAAAATTTCCAGATTTTTTCCCGATTTGCCCCTTTTTCCGATTAAAGAACCGTAATTCGTCCATTAATATCACATGACATATCCCATGATCTCTCATTTCCCTCACATAAATCAAGAATCATCACATAAATAAATATCTGATAAATTAAGTTGCTTTTCACAAAATTTAATCGACGTCAACTTTTCACATCATCACTATATGAATCTCAAAGCTGAACAAAATGTAATTCTGCTTTCTTCAAATCAGTTGTCTTTTCTAAGTGCCACTTGCTGATCATGCTGTCTTAAATTACATTTCCAAAACACATGTTTACCAAAATAAAGTTTCATATCATGCAAATTGGTACATTTTTGTTTTTTTTTTTTGGTAAAATATTTCACTCCTGAAAAAATGAAATTGCATCTTCTGTGTTTGGCAAATCCCAAAGACGCATTTTCGTAGCACTAAAAATAGTGTCAAAAATCAGCAAACAACAAGCCAAAAAGGAATCAAAAAAATAACCGCGTGCGAACAACAGGATTGCTCTTTATTGGCGCATCAGCACAACTTCTGCTGCGGTGGTGTCAATACGTAAGTACTGAATAGTGTAATGAAAGAGAAACTTTTTTGCCGTTTTGTGCAGTAATGTGTTTTGGTATTTTGAATGGATAAATTCAAAAGGGAAGAAAATTTCCTTGAATTCTACTAAACTTTAAACGATACTCTTCTGTTATTGAGACTGGATTCAGAAATGTATGTATGTGTGCCTGTATATGTATGTGTGTGTGCATACATACGGACTCGTGTAAATACATATATACAGGCATACATGTACACATACATTCATATATGCATGCATAAATACATACATTTCTGAATCTGCTCCCATTTACAAAGGAGTACCCTTTAATCTTAACTTCATAACATTCTAACGTCTAACTTCATAATGCTGTCTTTTGCGGATGCCTAGATTCTGTAACTTTGAAAATACTTCACGTGGTCTAAATTATTAATCACTTTTTCAAAATGCAAGGGGGGAAAACAGAACTTAAATCTATCTTTACAAAAATTAAATCAACATTTCAAGAATTAATCGAATTTACATTAAACCCAAATGAACTTATTATGATTGTGTCGTGATATCATGCTTGTCCATTATTGGCATTAAATCACACTGATGATAGTTTATATGTGTTGATAGTATTACAAGCTATATAATACTGTCACAGATCTTTCCTTACTAAATTTTTTCATTAGAAATGTTTTCTAAAATTCTAAAGTATTGCATTTACTTAAACATTCCAGTTAGTTGAATGCCGAATAGTTGGGCTTTTACTATATGCATGCACTTTTTATACTTGCTGAGACATATGCTTTTGCATCTTTAAAGGATTTTAAAACTGAATTTCAATTTGTAACAGTAATAAGAATTGAAACCTAACGTATTTATTTAGAAAGAGCAGCGAAATAATGAATCTCAATTTGTAACAGTAATAAGAACTGAAACCAAGCACATTTATTTAGAAAGAGTAGAAAAAAATTTAATTAATTCTTACAAAATCAAATCTACATCATCATTACAAAAATGTAACATATGAGTAAGGATTCAACTACAATTCTCACTGCATTTTCTACTGAATTATTTAATTAGTTTGCATTTTCTGTTGGAAGTAATAAAACATTTATTTTTAAGTAAGTTAAAAAGTTATTAGTAAATTTATCCACTTTTAGGTTCCCTGTTGGAGTACATTTGTTCATTTCTTTTAGTTTATTCCCTTCCTTTTTTTTTTTTTTTTTTTTTTTCCAGCTTCTTCCAGTGTGCTGGAAGAGTCACGCACACACATTTATATTATTTGAAACTTTATTGAAATTTGAATTTAGATCTGAGAAATTTTCCCCCTTTTTGGTAGCATCATCTTACAGACCATGCAAAGCTTGTACACACAACTAAAGGATGGAAAGTTATTGCTGCTACTGGAGAGAAACCGGTTTATCAAGAAAAAGAACCACTTGCATGTGAAGAGGGAAAAGGTGCTGTTTTACATAGTGATTTAATATCTAAACTTCAGAATTGTAAATCTGTAAGTATTAGGAAATTTGAACAGTTTGAAGTTGTTAACTTTTTAAGTTATCTAATGAGATTGGTATAGATGTATTTCATCTTATAATCTAAGTGTATATGAAAGCAGTTCTCATTTCTATTCAAGTTAGTCATTTAAAAATTTTCTAAATATTGTGGTACTATGCATAGGATTATCAGCTTCAAGATTTGAAATATTCACTGATATGAATTCTAATCTTATTGAGAGTTAGGAAGTTGCTTCAGTGTTTTTTGTTAAAGTGGCTCCATATGCTTTGACAACAAATAAAATTAATTTTGGGAAAAGTAGAAAACCTTATGACAACCTTTGAAAATTAAAAAACTTTAATGTGTCAGGGAGATAAAATATGTATTTTTATGAAAGTTTTTAGGGCAAAGAAAAGGTTTTTCTGACTTCATGCAAATGTACTATTTGTTACATAATTTTAGTGTTGGCACAGTATTTTTAATAATTTCATTAATTTTCAAACCATGATGCAAATTGAACAGTTTCTGTGTTATTGTGATAAGCCTTTGCTTTTGTTGTTTTGATAGTAGTTATAATTAATTTTATTTTTATTATTTTCCTTTTTTCTGTCAGGTGTCTTCCCAGATTCAAACATTTTGTTCATTAGTAAGTATTCCTCCTGAAGAGATTCAAAACAGAAAGAATTTTAAGGAGCATTTGAATGAATTATTTAAGCCTTACTTTCCTCACTGCAAAACTCATTTGTTTGGTTCTACAATCAATGGACTTGGTTTTAAAGGATGTGATGTTGATTTATGTCTGCAAACAGTTTTTGATGATAAGGTGATTATCATTTAAATTTATGTCCAATTTTCATATTTAAAAATTGAAAAAGCAGGATTTTTAAAAATAGACTAGATACTTAAAAATAAAAAATCTGATTAAAGGTAAAAAATAGAATTTATATTTGGGAATGTTAGAAAAAAAGTGTAGGAATTTTTTTTTATAATATTCATAACAATATATGCAAGTGAAGATTTTTTAAAGTGTGTTCTGTATATCTAGGCTAGTTTTAAAGTGTTTGCACATTGTTGGCTAGTTTTTGTGCTAGATCTATAATGATTTCCACCTTCATATGAGATTTCCACCTTCATTGAGAGAAATGTAGTAGATCACTATGTAAGACAACCCATTTGGCATTTTTACTGGTATTACCATATGAAGGGCGAAACAAAGTTGCCACATTAAAGATTTTTTGGTACTTTTCTGTTAATGGGATACTACAAGGTAACCAAAAAGATTCTTGCCGTTTTGGACAGTCAGAAAGAAAAAGTCATAAAACAAATAATAATCACCGTTAATCCTCGAAGTAATCACCATAGGCAGAGTTGCCAACTCTCCCAATTTAGGCGGGAGACTCCCGATTTTCGACCGATCTCCCGCCAACCCGATTTACAATATATTTCTAACGACTTTTTCTTATTCTTAAAATTTCTCACGATTTTTATGGAACTTGGCTTAATACTTTGTTATATGAACAAAAGTGATTTTGGACGTCTGAAAGGAATTGGATTTTCTCTAGATTATATCTAAAACAAAACCTTACTAATCAGATAACTTCTGCTTTGTGAGTGAGAGCATTATACGTATCCCAGAAACGTCGTTCTCCAGTTCTCCAATGGGCATCGAACTCCACTGCGTGTCAGCTGGCATATATTAGCCAATGAGGACAAGGCAAGCTGTTATTTGGATGTTCTTTAGTTATTTCGGTCAATTTGTCCTGAGTTGTGTGAGAGCACGTGCCTTCGGGAAATAGTTTTAGAAATTATCATCTTTTTTTATGTCTGCGAGAATGAAATACTCATGTACGTTTCAAAAATCGTACACAGTTGACTTTCCTTCCATTATTTCCTCAAGGAAATGTAAAATTTGCGATGTGTACCGCCTCTTGTTTGCGATTTTTCGAATTCGCATTGTGGAAGGGGGATGTCGTCTCAACATGTGTGTAACACAAAAAACACAAGGGCAACATGAGCTGTTTTGAAAAAAAAAAAAAAATTTTTTCTTTGAAACAAAAACCAAAAAGTTATTAATGCAGAATGTCTGTTCTCTGCCTTTTTACTGGAGCACAACCTGCCACTGGAATGCATCGGATCACGCTGCAGCTTTTATTTAGAAAAATGTTTCCCGATAGTGAAATTGCTAAGAAATACTCAAATGCAAGAACCAAAACAGGGGCAATTGTTAAAGAAATGGGTTTGAAAAATAAATCTTCAGTTATTGATTGCACAAAAACAGCTCCGTTCTGCCTCTCTATGGATGGAAGCAATAATACGGATTCAAAACTGTATCCAATTGTTGTTTCTTTTTTTAATCTTCAGAAATTGAGTGCAGTTTACTTTCTGTCCCCACTTTAGAAGGACATTTGACGGGCTTTAATATACCACAGCTAATTATTAAACTTTAAAAGAAAATGCAGGCCCTCTGGATAATTGCTTAGCACTTTGTGCCGATAATGCACCAGTATTGGTAGGCTTGAAGACTGGTGTTGCAGGCATCTTAAGAAAGAAAAATTCAGATTTGCAGATTATGAGTGCACCTGTCACCTCTTAAATTTAGCAGCTGAAAAAGGGGCAGCTTCTTTACCAATAAATGTGGAGAACACATTGTTGATATTTATTATTATCTTGAAAGGAGTTCTAAAAGGAAGGGAAAATTGAAACAGTTCCAACAGCTGCATAACAGCAGTTTACAATTAGAAAACTTGAATGAAGTTATAAAATCAGCTAGGATTGACACCCAGTGGAGTTTAATAGGATAACTGAAAGATGCTGATGGAATTTTAAAATATAGTCAACTGTCTAGAATTGTGTTGGCCATCTTGACAGTTTCCCATAGTAGTGCAGAGTGTGAGAGGATTTTAGTGTTGTTGCGTAAACGAGGACTAAATTTAGATCTAATATTAGTGATGACACATTAGAAAAACTTTTATTAGCGAAAGCAGGCCTACGTGGCAATTACTATGAACAAAACTATGAAGTTTCTTTCTTAAAGAAAGCAAAATCTGCCACTGTTTATAACATTTGTACGAAAATTGATTAAAGTGTCTTCCCCCCCTTAAACGATGCAAGTAATAAAAATGCTTTTTTATGTGTAAGGTATTTTTATGTTGCTTGCATTTAAGAATTAGTTACTATTTAAAGTTAATTCATTATTAAAAACCATATTTTTATCATTTAAAAAGTCTTTTTAACATTGTGAAAAATCTCCTGATTTCTTAAAAAAATTTCCTGATTTTTGAGTGTCATAGGTTGGCAAGTATGCAGGCATCCAGTACCTTTTGCCAATGAGTGGCTAGCTGTGCGATGCCATCACAGTAAAACTCAGGAGTCGTGAACACAAAGAAGTCCGCGAGGACCTTTTCGAAGTCTGGCCTGTTGTTGAAGGATTTCCCGTGAAGATGGTTGTTCAGGGAATGGAAAAGGTGGTAGTCTGTTGGTGCAAGGTCTTGAGAGTATAATAGATGGATAGTGTCTCCCAGCACACTTGCTGGAACATCTCCCTGGATTCCCGAGCCAGTAGTGGCCTCACATTATCATGCAACGCTGATGAAACGAGACGGCTTCCATCCTAATGCGACCTTATAGGCGCCTATCGGAATTAAGTGCCGCCCTGTTCTTGATCAATCCACCACGTTGCGACCCCACAGAGCAAGGGCAGACAAGGCAGTACAAGTGCGTGCCCTGCCGAGCCTTACTCTGTCCCGAGAGCCCTCAAGCCTTCTGTGAAGTCTGTTATTATACCCCCGTGGTTGAGACTGCCTAAGTATAGATCCTAACCAGTACTTTCCAGGCATTCGCCTGAGTCAACCCCTGAGGAAGAGCATTGTCATGCAGGAGTACACCTTTACAATTTACCAATGCTGGCGCTTTATTCATTACTGCGGGATACACACGTTGTAACGACTGTGAGTACAAGCCTGCCATGATGGTTTGGCCCACTGGCGGGAGCTCATATTGCACCAGTTGGTGATTAGTCTACCAGATACAGAGCATGATTTTGCATGGGTGGAGAGAAGTTCTCACAGTGTGAGGCACAGGGTTCCGTGGTGACAAACAATGTCTGGAATGCCTGAGTTTGTCATACTAGACCCACTTTTCATTACTGGTGAGTACTCTATCAAATATGGATGCATTGCAGTGCCGAGTAAGCAATGACAAAAAGGCAGCGACACGCTGTTGCTTGTTTTCATCGGACAGTGAGGGGGGTACCCACTTGCTCAGCTTGTATGTCTTTCCTATATGGTGCAAATTGAGTCTGATTGTTTCATCAGGTACCTGGAAGTGTGCAGCACATGTTTGGTTAATATTATGGCTTATGGCTGCTCTCAGGGCCTCATCCCACTTTAAAATCATACAGCAAACAACTCCGAACAAGTGCCTTTGACGCGTCCATTTCAGTGAGTTGCTGTGCAAGTTATGTTTGAAGTATCTATGCGACGCACTTTTATACTCTTGTTCAATGTCCAGACTCCCATCGTAACCACTTCATCGCTGGGTTTGGTGATTATTTTTATGTTGGGATTCACTCTTTCATTGTCATATCAGAAACGTCAAGAACTTTTTCAGTTACCTTGTACTTAGCCCTAAATATTAAACATTGGTATGAAATCTAACTAGATGGCATAAACCTAATAATAGGTTATCAAAAAATTACTTATAGTATACATAATGTTTGTACGCTCAATGTTGAATGTGTGAAATTCTCTTTTTTCTATCCTACCTCGAAAGGGGGGAAAAAGAAGAAGAAAGTGAGGTAATTGTTCCCCCCCCCCATGTTCACAGGAATCTGTTTTTGCTTTAGAAAAATCAGAGAATTGCACAAATTTAGCACTGCTTAGCTATTATTAATGGCACGATATGATGGAATTATCTGGAATGCAATTATGGTGGAAGAATGAGATTATGCTGCTGACGTGATAGCGAAATATAAAAACATAAGAAAATGTCATTGTATTATATAAGCACCATTTTTGTTCTAGACATTTTACCATCACTCTGGCAGTTCGAAAATTTACTTTTTTTCAAAATGTCTTTAGGTTTATTTGTAAAGAAGTTATCAATGTGTCGATAATATGCTGATTGACAATATTATTAATGTGCTGATTGATGATCTCCAAAGAAGTGAACTCTGAGTCATTTAGAAAATTCTAAAGTAACTGGAAGAGATGAAAATCTGAAAAAGCAAGGTGTAATGAATATAAGGTGGTGTAATAATATTGGGGAAGGGGGCACACAAAACATCTCGCCCAAGTTTTTGTCTGACTTTCATCGAAATGTAGGGCAAAGCATTGTCATGATGGAAAACAGTTTCTAGTTGGTTTTGGGAACTACGATTTCTGCTTTTAAAATGCCATTTAGTAAACCAGTAAAAGACACTGAACACATGTAATTCGGTTTCGGTGTTCAAGTCCTGTCGAACAGGCTAGATGTATAGTAATTTTTTTTGTGTTTTTCCCATGTGTAATGTGGATACGAGGCAGTTTCTTTTAAAAAAGTTCTCTACGGGGCATGCTTCCCTTTCCTTGTAGTGGCATCCCTCCCCTTTATGTGGAGGGGGGAACTGATATGGGAACAGTATTTTTTTAAATTTATTGTCTGATAAGATGGCAATAATTAATTGTTTGCAATTCCACTGTAGTCACAAAGCATTTCTTTTTTGGGAAGCAGCTCCTTTCCGAATGTTACTAAAGGAAGTTTCTTTGGCTTACCCAATGTTCACATTCTTGTTACATATTTGTGTAATCTCTACTTCTAATTTCCAGAAATAAGCTATTTAAAAAA